CCAATGAAAATTCTACAAAGGAAGTGTCTAACGAAGCTATTTAAAAGCTCGAATAGAAACATCAAAATATCTCTTAAAACATGACGAAGACGTCAAGCCTGCGATTGCAGCTCATTTTGAGGCGCAAAAGAAACACATTTTTCCGAGAGAATAAACAGAATTTGTTGTTTAATGTTCTATCTGAGAAATGAATCAAATCCAAGAAAAACACATCAAAAGCGAAAAATAATACCACGATTTCTCCCGTCCATCTTCACCTTCATTCCTCGAGCTTTTTACCTCCCAGGTATCTCTCTATCACAAGTTCGCCCGGTAATTAAACCGGGAGCAACAAATCCAGGTTCGCGACGTCTGCAAGAAACTCGACCGCGGACGCGAATTCTCGCTGCTTCGCAGAGAGAAAGAGAGACCACCTCTCTACGCAGTAGTAGTCGATTGGATCGAAAAATTCGTCAGGGTCGTAGCAGCGACGACGTTCGTGGACGTATTCGCGGAAAAAATTACGAGGAAATTGGTCGGTCGCGAACATGCAGTTAGCCGCGGGTAAAAAGGGAGCGGAAAAAGGGGGGAAAAAATACGCCGGTGCAAAAGTGAAATCAAAAAAAAGAGAAGTATAGACGGGTAGAACGAAACAAAACGAAACGCCAAAAACAGAGGCGCACGGGGGGAGTAGGAGAGAAATATCAAAAGCAATCAATTCCTTTTTAGCCGACGAACAATGTTCCCAGCGGCGTGTATACGCGTGTCGCCTATTGGCTCATACAGAAACCCTCGTGTGCGTTACACAGTTTGCACACGCGCGTGTGTCTGTGCTTTCTATGGTCGCGCATGTTGCATATTTAAAGCAGGGCACAAGGATGGAATATAAAGTTCGTTGGCAAAACAGCGGTCTCACGGTGGGAAAAAAGGAAACGAGCGCGAGAGAGAGAGAAAGAGAGTGCACGTTCGCGGTAGAAGAATTAATAAAGCAACGAAAAGTAGAGCGTGGTGCACGTGGTTTATCGTTGTGTTTCGGTTGAAAGAAAAGGGCGCGTCGTGGACCGTGGCATGTTTCTCTCTTCTCGACCCACGGTTATAATTCCGTTCCACGCGGCCTCTGGTGTCCAGCAACGCTCTGTGCCTCACCTGAGCTTACGACTTTTATTCAGCTCTGCCGCGTATTCCGCGTATGCATCCTCCAGGCCGGTCACGAACTGTCTCTGAATCGCAACAATTAAAGCAAAAGGACCGCCAACGGACGCAGGCAACGCGCGTACCGCGGGTTTCCCAAACCCTTTTTTCTTTTTTGCGTTTCGCGGTTCACCTAACCCTTTCTTTCTGTCTTTCTCTGTTTCCTCCATCCCCTATTCTGTGTTCGATTAGGGCGAAAGAACGTGACGGATCGCGGGTCGTGGTATTGACTGGGATATTACGCGTGAATGCTCCCGAATTATTCGTTTGTCCAGGAAGAGAGCTGTGTTCATTGCTTTCGGTGGAGGGATACGACGGAATGGAATTCTGGGTTAAGGTTCGTCGAGGACTGCAGTTAATGATGGCAACCTGTTCGGGAAATTCGTTGCTCCAGAAAGTTGGCTGAGAATTTTTTTATCTTTGAAATTTACTTTTTTTCTTCGCAATTTGGGACGATAGTAACGATAGGTGAGAGGAATATGCGTGATAAGAAAGCGACTGGTTTCGAAATCACAACATTTCAGGTACCAAAAGGTAAAATTTTTAAGAGAAACAAAAAATGAAGGGAGCTATTGTGCAATCATTGTTTAGCAAGATGGGGAATATTGCATAATAGAAGTGAAACGTAGAAACGAGTATTTTATTAGTGCAAAATCATTTTCGAAGACATACGAAATTTATTTGAAAATAAAGAAACCTGAAAATGTTATAATCTCTGTGCTAGGATCGCTCTAATATCATCAGCAATTATGCGCAATGGTACTTACAACGTTGCGCTCTTATCATCTCATTTTCTGAAAATTTGCCACGTAACCCTCGGTACGAAAAGTTTTTAAACAATCTCCCGAGATTTTCATCTAATTCGCAATTATTCTAGAAACCTTGGGTAAAAACAACTTCAATCTCCCGTAACTCCATTCACGAGGAACTGTAAACGTACTCGAGCGCGGATGATATTTCATAGGGGTTGAAGGTTTCATCCCTTAACTCTAATATTATCTACAAACACTGTCTTTGTATAGCCGGAGAAGCCAAAAATATATATCCGAATTAATCCCACGGTCTCTATAAAAATCCTTCGGTTGGAATATTCAACGATCGAATCGATAACGGCGGGGCAACGAGGGGGAGGATTTATCGCGCGATAAATACTCTCGAACCCTCTCTTTCGTTCGCTCCACTCTTAAACTCCGTGGCGCGCGCGACGTCACAAACGGATCCTAAATTATACGGGAAACTCGGTTTCCGCGCTAGGGTGCGAACAAATAGGACAAAAATGCCGTTTCAGCTGACTTGCTGCGTGTCGGCTAGGCTGAAATATATACGAAGGAGGGCCAGCCAACCGGCCTGGCCTGCCTTTAATAATTATTATCTACGGTCACGTGAGCATAATAACGTTGGCGTGTAGCATGCTTTGATAATCGCACGTGCGCTGCCTCTTTAAGTTCCCTCCCATTCAATCAGCCTGGTCCTTGTTCGCTTCTTGAGCCACCCGTGGAAGAGATTAATTAGAGAAATACCTTACAGGGCTGGAGGTGTAGGTGTTGCGCGAGAAAAAAAGAGAGAAGAGACGGAAAAAAATGATTGCGTGCGCTCGACGAGTAATTAAGTGTTAATGTATCCTGTCGCCCGGCGTTTGCTTGTCGACTAATTAATCCTGCACGCTTCGTTTACCTCCATTCAAGAAAACAGATTCGTGACTTGTCGCGGAGAGAAACGATGTAATAAATATTAAAAGAAAAGAAAAAAAAAATGTTTCTCAGAGCCACAGATTTCACAGCCACTTTTTTTCTCTGCTTTCTCTAAAGCGTGTCGCGCGTGTCTTGATTTTTTATAATGTTTCATATACAGATAGTTTTAACGCAGTTACCTTTCTCTGCCCCACGGCTTCGAGGAAACCGTGTTACCCGGTTTTGTGTGTTTACGCGCGGATCGGGGCAGATACCTTTTCCTTACAGAAAGAAAGTACACATATACACAGAGAGAGACATATAACACATCTTGCTTAGGGGAGTCGCCAGTATTTCGGTATTAGAAAGTAGCGCTCTTAGTGCTTTTAAGAATCTTCATCGGGAGCTTTTAAATGGACAGCCGGAGAAGTTCCTTTGACGATGATACATAAGATCTTGCGGGAGCTACGAAATCTCTTCCCAGGGAGTTCGTTCG